TGTTGTCTTCTCTGGCCGTTGGCAATGGAGCTCAGCAATAATCGTTCGGGGTTATAGGATGCGAAACAAAATGCACTCAGAAACATCAACTCCCTCTTTTGAGCTGACTGATCAGCAACAATGGTTTCCCCCCACCCTCATCCTTCCCTCGCTTCCAGTCTGCTCCGCATTTTGCCGCTGCTAGACATTTGTGTACCGGAAAGCACTAACGCATTAGCAATTTCTAATAAGTCTACGAAAATTTCACAGGAACAGTAAACGACTAATGCTTTTAGAAAGATGTAAACGAGGGCAAAATGAGGTGCACAAACATAGGCATACGCACACCGACATACGAAAACCATCCTGATTTCGTTTGGGTATGATGATTGAGAACAAATATAATTCATTACGAACAACCTTACGGTGAAAGAAATCACTATGCGCATCGTATGAAAATAGCTCGCGGCGAGTCAATAATGGAACGGAAGATTGCAGAACAAGAATAATAACAAGGACTGCATGAACCACCACCACCACCAACAACAACAACAACAATAACAACAACAACAACACCCAGCAAATGCAGCCACGAATGACACTGACAAAGACACAAACAAAAGTAGATAATGTCAGTATTATTTATAATGGCCATGATGATAATCTAATAAACTCTGATTCATAACCTTCAGCAATCTTTAGAAATATCACATAATAATCAAGAAGCTTTGATTTTATAACACGGTGAACGTGATTCCGTGAGAATATTCAGTCTAGAAGTAAAATGATGAAGGCTGTGATGAAAGCTGTGACAAGTGGGTATCCTGAAATCGACTGTCGAGAAAGTAAGACTTCGAGTAAACTTATTGTGATTATGAGACAATGATGATGATAACAATAATATTGCCAATGATTTTGTACTTTCATTGGTTGAATACGTATTTACGTATTTACTGTTAGTATTGAAAGCATTCTCGTCGGTTACTGTGAACATTTTCCCACCGACAGTGAGTTGATTTTTACTCCGCAATTTACCAGTGATAGTCTTTAAGTAATTTTCAAATTTTAAACGGAATCATAAGGAATTTACTGTGACTTTAAATACTGTTACCTACCTAATGTAACAGTCACTGAAATAATTGGAAAGTGGTTCTTTCGAACATAATGGATTGAAAACCACATCTTAACAAACTTGACCTGTGAGTTCCGTTCGGGTCCGATATGAGTTGTTTGGCGAACACATATCCTCTATGCTACCTGTCTGGAGTTCAAATAGCAGACAGTGTTATGGATACGAATTGGAAACGACGTTTAACGAGAACGAAACTCACATCGGATTCTTCTTAAGTCTAGGGCTGGTTGCATGGAGTGACGATTTTGCACGAATATTAAGTATGAATGATGTTCATTCCAAACAAAGTATTCATTTAGTGTTAGAAACGAAAAAAAGTCTGACAGAAAGAAATAGGATGGTAAAAAAAATGAAAAAACGTGGACATGTCACTACATGTTCAGTATCTTCAATAACATTTCTCATGAAGTCAGCGGGAAAAGGCTGTAGTATGCCAGATAATCCAGTAATCAGTAAATTTAATTCAGCTTTGTGAACAAAAAGTCAATGTATTGACCTGATTTGAACGTTTTACTTGCCGTTTATGGTTGGAATGCGAGGTTTTTAAGTAGTAAGCAAACGAACATCATTTATGTGTTGCTGGGCTAGTCAAATCCCGATCACTAAATTTAAAAATGTCGAGCATGAATGATCACTTTACGCTGCCCACGCAACCAAATATAGTATATGCCTACGATGAAGCCACTTTTGTATCTAAGCTAACGTTCTTTTACGATAAGCGCCTCTCAACTGCCGCAGCATAACAGTTTGTAGCCCTGAGAATTCAAAGTATATCTAGAAATTTTCAAGATAAATTTGTAAGTCCCTTTCCACATACGAAAATGCACTATAGACGTTGAGCAAGGGTTTCTGAAGTTAACAAAACATCACCCGCGATTCAGATTCGTGGAATTAAGCAACGAAGGTTGTAGCGTCAGGCAACGAGTGTAATTCGTATTATTTATCAATAAGTACTTCACTAGCAGAGTGGTGTAACATATTTACGGCATTGGTGATAAAAATAAAACTTTTTTGAACATATCAACTGAATTTATTTCCAGTTTAGCCACCATATGCTAGTGAATAGATTTTTTGACTGTTTATGAAATAAAAAGAGAGAAATGGGAATTCCATTTGAAAACTAATCCTATAGTCTACAGGTAGATCGATCACCAGTTCACTGTTCTCATTATGTCTATACATTTTAAATGACCGAAAGGGAATGTGCACTTTCATCAGATATTTCCTCTCAGTGCTAAGTGTTTCGAGCTTTATTCACCGGGATTGGAGAAGTACGATAACTTCCCACTGGGATACATTTTATGCGACCCTAGAAAGATTTCATGAGACACCATTCATCTTTAAACAGTGTAATGAACCGGTTTCAATTCTACTAATTCGGAAAAAAGCAACTTGCCCACAATCTGACCAAAGATATAATGGTATGATTTGTACATACCAAGAATAAACAAACTCTGGCGTAATATATGTTCAATTGTACGTCCTACACAGAAATTATTGTTCCCTTTAAACTCTTTTATTTGCACCGCTTCACTGCCCTTTTGAGGTGATTAATCGTTCTCGCTTGAAAT